CGGTTTTGCATGAAAAACAACCGCTGTGGTACAACACGAGGACACATACTCTACTGGAATCGGGAGAGATCTGCAAGGAAAAAATTGCGGTGGCCGAGCCGGTAAACGCTGGTTGCATAGAAGGAGGAAAGGAAAGTGTGACGGTGCACAAACCACGAGACAAGACCAAATCTCAACGTAACTGCAAAATGAAAACATGCGTGACCCTATCCCGAGGGCTGGCCTAAAACCCTGACAATAACCCGAAATCTTAGCCCCAAACTTAAATGAACCCTGACCATCACTTTTTCTCTTACTGACACACTTAACTTATCCTGAAGAAAACCTCAAATCCAACTTTAACTTTTAACCTCAGCCTAACCGCAATCCTTATCCTAGCCCTGACTCTTACTGTAAACGCACATTCTACCTAAACCCGAATACTTAACGTTACCATAGCCCTATACCTATTATCAAACCGGCCTTTTACATAACACTAATCTCAACCTCAAACCTCAACACTGCACTTAATCCTAACCCTAAACATTTAACCAAACTGACCAGTTACATAACCCTAACCTCAAACTTAAACCTAACCCTAGTTTCAATCCTACATCTAAACCGAAACACAACCCCCAAACCCAAATCATTATACTGGCTTAAACGTCTAACCCGAACTCCATTAAATTAACCAAAACAGTAACCCCTAGGTCGAGCACCTAATCGTTGTGGTTAAAGTATACTCCAAGGTAAAGAAGATGTCTATAATAGCCAGCGCCTAGACCGTGCCCACAAACCTTTTCCTTATAACATACAGTCAATCACAATTCCACTCCTTAATCTTAATGATGATGTCAAACCATAAACCTAAGCATAAACTCTTGCTCATCTTCTAAATCCCGTTCTAAAACGCAACGTTAACCCCTATTAATACACCCTGGTATTAAATTGTCACTTACTTTAATCTTAACCGTGAACCTAGCCAGGGCTGGTTCCGAAAGTCAAACCGTTTAGCCTTAACATCATTCTACATCGGTAACCAGATGCGTGATGTCTGCTCGAAATTGTAGTAGGCACACCTTAAACTTATGGAAACCAGTAATTGTAGCGAATCCAGTGGGGCATAAACTGGTATTCGACTCCAAGCGTGAACCGAAACACAGCCACTAAACCTACAGCAAGCGAATCCAACTCCACAGAGGTACACGCATAAACGTAAACGACAACTTTAAGTGCTGGATGTAAACGACCTACGGATATCAATAATAACAACAGAAGGATAAGATGTCAGCGAATCCGGACAGCGTATTAGAGCCATAATTAGTATTTATAAACGACCTAACATTACCTTTAATATGTCTTTGGTGTTTTCCATCCCCTTCAAGTTGTTATTTATCAGAGCAGATATAGGATCAACGCATTGATGTCGGTTGATGAGTGGTTAGCAATCATTTTCGAACATGGACATCTTTCAAGAATTAGGTCACCAACGTACGTTCCTAAATGGTCCGTTCGCACGCAGACGGGTTGCTTTCACAGGTACCAGAGCTTACGCGGTCACGCTGAGATTTACCATTTTAATTGCACCTGTTTTTCCTTAATCAACCTTCAAATATTTAAATCGTCTCGATCTGATGACAAATTAATCAGTCAATTTGCCTTAACAATAATCTGTTTGCTAGGGCAGTACGCACCGCTTTCGCATTTACTGTTGCCGACTTCAGATTTAAAGATACGAAACCTATTCCGGGTCATGGTCCGGTCGCCAGGTGAGCGTTCTCCACTGTGTTTCTGTCGTGCCTTCCACAACCAGATAGGTCTTGCTGAACCGTTGTCGGTCTTAATCCTTTGCTTGTGTATCTCCTACCGTTGGGGCGTGTGATTTATTTCCCTGATCTGCTTGCCGATACGTTTTTAGTTCGTCCTCGCTCTTTGCGTGCTGCTGACGGCACAACAATGTGGTCTCATGGTAGCGGTACTTTTCCCATTATTTATAATGTGCAATGTTTTACCAAAAATAAGGACTGTTAACCTTGCCAATCCTGCCGGCTGGTACTCACATCAATCTTGGCATTTTCATGGCCGTAGCAGTCCCACCTTTAGTTGCCCATCTTACACTGTTTGCCCAAGCTAAGAGCGGTCACATTAATCTGTAGTGCTCAACAGCATCCTAGTTTGGTGCGCCCATTGATCCGTAAAGGTATCCATGCCCCCTTTGTGCATTGGCATCATACACCATTCGCGTTCGACAATAGACTCAGATAAGTCCTACAAGTGCATTCCTAACTGATTTCCGCTAGTCATGAAAGTGTTTGCTAGTAGACTTCCTTCTGTTGTCTCGCAGTTGCCAGCTTCTTTTAGGCGTCTGAATCCTCGTGAGTACTAGCTTTCCTCTTAAGTGAATGTCATCTGTACCTCTCGCATAATACCACGCCCTCACATTCCTTATACGCTCGCTTAGATAGGAAGGCTAACGGAGCCATAGTTGAAAGAAGGTAAAATATTAATACAAATAACAAAATAGCTTGTTAAATGCTGGTTTGTCGACAGCAATTTACTGTTTCGTGTCAGCCGTATTCCAGAAGATCCGGTCGGTTGGCTGGCCTCGGTGTTGGTCTTTGGGTTCGGGAAAGATTCTCCGTGTTGAACATACTGACTTATTGACGGGCGTTGTGTGAGACAACCCAGTCTATCGAGTAGGCCTTCGCTATGTTACAAAGGAAGGTATCTTATGCCTTTGGTAGAATGACGTTGTTCCGTCCGAAACACACTCAGTACACCCGCTCTCACATGTTGGAGCATACAGACCTGGCAGAAATCGACCCGGCTTCATCGTGCTTTTTGATTAATTCGTCTTCAATGCGCTTTGATGGCGTTGGTATGTCCTTCAGTCGTTAGGTCGATAAAGTTTTCGACTGATAAAATACTGGTATCTTAGGGAAAGCCTGCAGGCGTAAGTGTTCCTTTCGTCTAACGCGTTGACGATAATCTTTACCCCCCACTTATTTATGACCGCTCTCAGCAACGGCCTGCTTGTATCATTCACCTGTTCGAACATATCCTTATTCGGTACCGGATTCCTACATCCAAATTATCCAATGTTGCGTCTATCATTTCCCAACTATATACATTCGCGCGCTCATAAGTGTATTGTCTACATTGACTTCGACCTCCGACTCCTACATTTTTGAGGAACGTCCTAAAGCAGACATGTGGGCAAGAGAGTCCGACTTTCGGTTCCGGAGTTGTGCAGCGTGTGCTCCCAGCAAGGTCAGAGCAGGAGCGCTACATTGTGTGTGAAGTAGATAAGAAAGGTAGTAGACGTATGCAGAACTCTCTTATTCTCACCTATCTGAGCCCAGTGTGGAGACAAAGTCGAGAAGAACGAACGCGGGAGCGACACACCTGGACCCGCACCTAGGCGTATCACCACAGCATCAGTTTCGAAACAGACACGTGACCAGGAACCCATATACCAAAACAAAAGGCAGAAACTGCATAAAACCCAAATTTATGCGGTATGAGACTGTAAATAGACCTGAAGTGATAATTTTTGCTCACAATATACAGTGACCAAGATTGCGTTCCTAAAAATATAACAACGGCGACGACTAACGCAGCCAGAGCCGCCCCTAGGCGTGCCACTACGCCCGGCTCGCAACCCACAAAATGCCATAGACGTCATTGCAGCTTGTCTCTCAGGCCACCAGTCGGCCACTCCATTTAAACATCTATTCTGGATCGACTGTGAGGTCCAGGCTTTCCGTCAGTTGGCAGCCCTAAAACCAGGTCAGAAAATGTAGGATGGCAAAAGTCACTGCCTATCTATCCAGCCGCGAGGAAACGCATCCACCGTCAGGGAATCCGATGCAACAGAAATAACAACTCAGAAAAAGTACCGAGGTGCATTTTTTTTTCTTAGACGCGGCATTGCCCACGCACACAATGCTTAGGGCCTAAAATTGTAAGATGCAGTCCTTAATGTGGTCTAGGCCATCACCTTTCACGGTACTCTTCCCGCAGAGTCATCGGGTCAGCAGTACCAGTCAACCGTAATACTGCAGTATACGTTTACTTTACGTGTGAAGAGCTTCACTCGCGTTCCATTCAGGAGTTATATATAGGTTTTCATTGTATTTTGAGTGCGCATTATAAATACAGAACTGGTACGTAGTGGTCTCTTCCGCCTGGAACGTCCGGTTCCAAATGCATAGCCGTCCGTTTACTGGCAGAGTATTTACTCGCTCATACTGCGGTGTTACTGACATCTCAACTTTCAGGGCAGTAAATCATTCGTCTGGCATTACCCCACCAGCCGAAACGAATTAGTATCAGTATCAGTTTATTAAGGGAAACATAGGCGAACGCCTTTGAACTCCCTAGTTAAAAGTCGTCGGAGAAAAACATTGAAAAATGGGAAGATAGAAAGGGGATTTTGTGCATCCTCTCGGACAGCAGACAAAAAAGAGTAATCATTAACGGTTACTTACTAGTTGCAAGTAGTATAACTACGTATAATACTGTACCCGGTTTTGTGAGTGGATGTGAGGGTGGAAATCAGGAAGCTTGATGCGTGTCAAGTCTCCACTTGAAGGAATTCACACAGGAGGAGGTTCCAACATCGGTAGGCAGAGCATTCCACGCTGCAACCCCTCTGTTACTCGAAAAGAAATTTCGTCTATTGATTCTTGATTTCCCTGCGCGTAGTTTTTGGGGTGACTGCGCAAATTGGGCGTGTCAGCTTGTGTGAAATAATCAGTGGGATGTTAACAACAGTCTAGGCCGTTGATGATGCGAAATGTTAGTATTAGGTCATCACGTTATTGCCCGTAGGAAAGGGGAAGCAGGTTGAGAGTTGACAGTCTGGTTTCATAGGGCAGTTCTCCCAGACCTTGCGTCATTTTGGTCGCCCGTCTCTGGACCTTCTCCAAAACGGTATAATCCTTGGCAGTCCAAGGTCTCCACGCCAGTGTGGCGTATTCTAGATAAAGTCGCACGAGGGTGCCAAATATTATGGAAAATCAGTCAGGGTCAGATCCCATAAATGCTGGCCTAGTGAGTTGCAATGTGGCCGTAGACGAATAAGCAGCCTTCGCGCAGTGCAGTGTTGGTTTGAGTGAAGATGTAATCCACACACCCAGGTCCTTCTGACTGTCAACCTGTTGTAGTGGTGTGCCGTGTAGAAAGTAGATGCTGCAGCTGGGGTCTCTGAAGCTGTCGAGTTGAAGAAAGTTGCACATGCTTATGTTGAAGGGCATAAGCCAGCGCTTCGACCAGTCTTTGAGCCTGTTCAAGTTTGCTTGAAGGTGGTCTGCGTCTGCCGCATTGTGAATAACTTTCCACAGTTTTATGTCGTCGGCAAACAGGATGGCATCACAGTCTAGGTCCTTGACGCAGTCATTTATGAAAACGAGGAATAACGTGGGACCTAAGACTGATCCCTGTGGCACGCCACTCACCACGCTTACATCTGAGGACTGTTGACGCCCGACCTGCACTCTTTCGGACCGTCCAGCCAAAAAGATCTGGATCCATACAAGAAGGCGTCCACGAATTCCAGAGTTGCGCAGTTTGTATAAAAGATTTTGATGAGGAACGCTGTTGAAAGCCTTTTTGAAGTAGATGTAGATGGCGTGCACCACCTTGCCTTCATCACGTGCTTTGGTCCAGCGTTCGAGCGCAGAGCGCATTCGTGAGTCAGGACGTGCCACTTCGAAAACCCTGTTGGGCATCGGAGAGGAGGTGGTGATGCTGGAGGAAGGGCATCAAGGCCTTTTTAATGATCTTCTCCATGATTTTGCAACTGATGGAGGTAAGACTCACTGGTCTGTATTTATTCGCAGACGCACGACTTCCTCCTTTAAGAAGCGGAGTGATGGTAGCGGACTTCCAGTCAGAGGGCAGGCATCCAGTAACAAATGACGTTTGGAAGATCAAGGCTAACAGCTTGGACATCTAGGGAGCTAGTTTCTTCAGCAGCTTGTTGGGGATTGCATCAGGTCCTGTGGAGGTCGATTCTTTTAGGTTAAGTAACTCATTCCGAACAATTGTTTCGGTAAAAAAGACGGCTTCGAGGGTAAGCGGGTGAGGAGAAATCAGGTTCACTTGTCACTGCTAACCGGAAGAACTGAGAGAGATGTTCAGCCTTATCCTTGTCATCGGAGATTTCCGCACCCTTTGCCGTTCGCAGCAGTTGGACGGGATCTTTGTTCCGTGTGCTTTGTTTTATATAGCTATAAAAGAGGGATTAATCATGGCACGGTTCAAAAGATTCTTTTCAAATGCTTCCCGATCTTTGGCGATGAGAATTTTGAGCCGATTTCTCTGTAACTTATAACTGCTTAGGGATTCTGGCGTGCGGTCCTTAATCGATATTTTCCATAACTTCCACTTCTTGTTAACTTCCTTCTTTAAGGACAAAGTCAACCAGCGAGGTTTATTTGTTAGTCTTCTGCGCATGATTGGGCAGCAGTTGGCGATGAGGTTGTGGACTAACTCTTCGAACTGACACCAAGCCTCTTCGACATCGCCCGAGAGAGTGGATGCCCAGTCGATAGGACTAAGATCCTTTTTCATCTGTTCGAAATCGCCACGCCGAATATACGGTCGGGAATCGAGCGGTTATGCAGACAGGGAGAAAAAGGTGTATTCCTACATGAGAACTACATGGTCACTCTGACCCAACGGGGGAGGCAATTTACAACGTCGATGATGTCAGACGACTTGGTGAACACCAGATCGAGGCAGTTCATCTGTTGGTCATCTCGAGCTCTCGTCGGAAACATTACGTGTTGTGTGAGAAGCAGGTTGTCGGAGGTACGCAGTAGCTGCTGGTCAAATGCTGATTCAGAGCGGTCGGCTGAGGCCGAGCTCCAGTTTGCGTGAGGTGCATTAATATCTTCACCGAATAGAGAAGTCGACCGCATTGAAAATAATCTGAGCTCCTCCAGCAGTTGGGCATCAGCGTCAGGGTCATTTCTCGGGGGGCGATATACTGTCAAGATAGCGAGGCTTTGAGAGCCCAGTGCCCTTATGGTCAGCCATAATGCTTCGGTACTAGAAGTCAGTTGGGAAGTTTTTTCTGAAAATTGCAAGCCATTCTCAACAAATGTTACTTTGCCTCCACCCCTTCTATAAGTGTAAGTTTGTTTGCCTTCGGATATTCTTCTACGATGCACGGGCGCATGCACTTTAGGGCTGGTGAATATGCAGAATATGCGTTTAAAATACCCAGATAATATCCAACGCATAATTGCAGCTGTGCGCTTTAATATTCCTACTTTACTATATGTGCTTTTTACTGTTTTGCGAGGATAATTTCGCATTCTACAAAGCGGCCAGTTACTCTTTCCATCTTAAATATTGGCTTTCACTTCTTATTGAATATTCCAAACTTCCTTCAACCTGGTCCTTATCACCACAGCCATGGTTTGCAGAAAAAGACCTCGACAGTTTCTTTTTCATTTTTACTGCCTTTCCATGTTGCCTGTTAGCCAGCGCTCCCATCTTATAAGCCGTAAATTATAATTCTTTCGAATTCCACGCACACTTAAACAGCCAACTGGCAAACGCGTTCTTTCGCCATTTTTGCATCAGGATGTCTGCATGCCTGTAGTTTGCATTTTGCCTACCCATAAACATCATACTGATACAATTTTCCTAATGAGAGAGTCTTTGCTTTCCGTTTCCAATGTGCGGCTGCATATCCATTCGTTGTTCATTTCATCCCTACATGATTGATACTGGTCACTGTAAAACGGGGTGAACGATCTTGTGGACTGTTCTTGTTAGTATTCGGATTTAAGTTAGCACCATCTTCATCCTCAGAAGTTTCAAAGGGATTGCATTATAATCAACCGATATCTTACCGATTGCTTCCTGCCAATAGTTCTCCGGGGTTCTCTAATCTACAAACGACTTGGTGGCCTCACTATTTCATAGTGACAGTTTATCTGGCTAGAAAAACTCTGTTTTATAACTTTACAAATGTCTCAATAATTAATAATTGAACATTGTGAAAGTCGTAGACTCCTCTATGTCACGATCTTAGCTGTTGCCAATGAGATTTCTTGGATGAACCTGGTGTATGTGACATTACATCTGACTGTAGTCAGGCGCAAAAGCGAGTGACACCGAGGACCCACCGAACATGGAATTCGTCGAGTTCTCATAAACTCCCTAGCCAATAGTCTATTCCAAAATAGCTAACTGAAAACATTTTTAGGGATCCCTTACACAAAAATTCCTGCCTACTGACGGTGTCCACCATATTCTCCATAACGGAGTGAGAGGAGGGACGGTGACGTGCGCCAAAATAAGTTTATTGTGAGATAAGTCTTGCGCGGCATCTATTGCACTCTCTCCTCCTCTCCCTCCTGGGCTATGCATTAAGACATAAGCAGAATTACCGGAGACGTCTGCAAGCGCAGGGGACTGACACAGGCGGATCCGCACGAAGGCATATCACCACACCTTTGGCCCACAAAATAACACTTGACCAGGGTTTCAACTAATAACAAAAATTGATCAGAAGTAAGAGAGAATGACACTAGTCCTGTGGACAGACATGCACACGGCATGCATGCCAAATGGGAGCATATCTTTCAACAGCGAACCAGGTGCCGAAGAACTGACAGCGCGCATAAGACTGCGAGGGTCATGGTTTACTGATCATAGTGTAGCAGACTTCTTAAATTCTGAAAATCCACAGGAATGGGACGTAGCACAGGAATTAGCCTGGGTCATCTATTTTCAAAGGCCGGGTCAGTCCTTGATTGAGAAGCACTATCCATACGCATTGTGTTTGCAGATCCGTTGAGTCTAGCAGTAAATAATCAACTGTATGCGAAATTCTGCACCAAATATTTTCCAAAAATGGTGCTGAAACACCCTGCTTATTAATGCGGACCTTGTTTGTCTCCGCGGCTATAATGAATCAAAGTGGCATTGAGTTTTAGGAAAACGTTCAAAGAGCCACTATTATGTAGGCCATTATTATAATGTGGATTGAGATATATCTATATGAATATGCGAATTTCAACAAATAAGTGTCCACTTGTCAATTACTCGGCCCATGTCCTCCAAATACAACGCAAAAATACGTATGCACGCGGGTAAAACCCACTTAAGCGACTGAATCCCCAAATGACATAACTGCCTTAAACAATGTAAATGTCATTCCGCCCCCAGCACTTCGAAATTGTGCCTTTCTCTAACACCACATTTAATATAAGTGATAATGTATTTAACATCTGCTTTAATAATAACCAAGGACCCTTATCTCGCTTCATACTCATCAAATCGCGTGTTTTTTTTTAATGCAGATGCATTGACGTTTTTTATAAATTGAACATGCCAGCCCAGGGGTGCATACCTAAAGTCATTTGGACGGTTATGTTGTCCATCTTGAGTCCATCTTCGTGCAGGGACGATCAGCGTTTAGGGTTCCAAGTCATTTCCACAAACCTAACAACGCGCTAATGAATAAAACAAGAATTGCGAAAGCTATCAACAAATTAAACGGTTATGTATGCATCAAAGTTCATTTTCGTTGACTTAAATACATTTTAAACGAAAGGTTAAAGGTGGTAGACCATAATGCTAACTTAACGTGTCAAATTTGTGAGTGAATTCTTTCCGCACTCAAATAGGTTTTACCAACATTCATTTCAGTAAAATGTCATTTATTATTAATCTTGTATATTGACGATCAGAAAGTAAATCAAAGAACTGTAAACGCGAACCGTTTGAAATTCATAATTTTTAAGATTACACCTCAGAATTAATAACTGCCCTGCAGAAAAGCATTTTTATTAAAGACCGTCGATTTAATTACAAAAAAATTATCCATAATTTTGCCTTTAGATTTTTGAGACACCGATCAGTCAATAAGAAGCTTAATTATGCAAACGCCAAACTATTCACAATACCCGCAATACTGACCCAAGATGCAATACGTCAAAAGGGCGTTCATGGAGTTGATTTGTTTACTAAATATACATATATTTAAATTCATGCCTGCAGCAGTCCAATAAAACCGACATGCGTTGCCGAAACATTCTACTGCACTTGGCGATTTTTTGGCTAGTACATTCGAACAGCGCTTGCAGGTTCCTTTCACGTATGTTATTTTTAAAGATATTTACGTTTTCTGAAATGATACGCATATTTCCTTTCCGTTTTTGCCCTTATACACTCACGAAATTCTTTATGCATGTGTGGAATTTATCAACATTCACACATATGGCAATTGCTCATATCCAGCGTTTTAATATCTACTACCACAGATCGCAAACTAATTTAACATGAGTGAATTTAAAATTCTTTTTAAACCAAAGCTCTAGGTGAACTTATCTAAAAAATGTATGTTTTCACAAACCAGATAATGCCTCATACTGGCCTGAAAATGTTCGTCACATTATTTACCTTTGGCGATTCTGCGTAATTTTGGACAAAATATTTACACAACATTTTTTACACATGTTTGATAAGGGCCTTCCTGTTCGTTTGTTCTGGTCAATTTTCTGCGAAGAAAATACACCCATATATTTTGGTTAACCATTTAACTTGATAGAAATATTGACCACAAACGAGGGTTTCGATGCCATAGCAATATTTAACATGCGGTGACAATGGCTTCTGCGAATATTTACATGCTTGTTTATAACTTCCTTCAAAATACTTGTAATCA